TCACTGATCACTATTAGGGGGTTAGACACACACATACACAAGATAATGTAAATTTACAAGACATGTTTATATTATAATATGGAAAATATTAAAGTATTTTTTAAAGTACCAGTTATTTAATTTGTGGATGAAATGTCCCAGTGTTGATCTGCCCTTATTTGCTTGTGTGATGGACATATTTGCAGTGTTTAGCAGGGGTAGACACCATTGGTCATATCCAGCTAGTCCGCAGCTCATTTTGGACAAGTGGTCGGAGTAAAATAACTTGAAAAAACAAGTCCCTCAAGTTTGTTACTAACAGACTAGTGGTTGTGTCTATCCCTGGTTTAGAGAGATGAACTGTTGTGGTCTTCAGCCCTGCATCCTCAGTGCCAGTCTCATTAATATCCGATCTTTTACTCCCATACGATACCTGTCTTCAGTGAAGATCTGAGGATACTTCCATATATGGGCGTCATCTGAACTTCAGCCAATCAGCATCAATGCTTCTAAATTCTTGGTATGGGTGATCAAAACATTCAGACAATTCTTGCCAATATCCGAATCTCGAAAATGGAGTTAATCAGCTTGTTCCGAACGTAAATGTTAAAGGCTTAACCATTATGTTATTATGCATTTTTTATGCATGTCATTTCTGAGCACCATGGCAGCTATACCTAAAAGGGAGTTCCTTTGAAGGAACATTTGTGTAACGCATTTATTTTGTTAAAATTGAAATGTCTGTCGAAATAGAAACGATTTGAAACCAAATGGTTTTATAAAGCTGACATCTGATTGGTTCCAGAACCCATGTATCCTTCATTTAGATTGAGCAGTCAACGTTTGCTCAGGGTTCACCTGATGTGACCGTCTATGAAGGTGTCCTCAGATCGTCACATTTAGAAGTATGGTATTGGAGTAAGGATCAGTTTTTATTGAGATTGGCCATGTTCTAGAGTAGCGAATTAATCAGGCACTAAGGCCCTCTGTAGCTACTGTGGCCTAGGCAAACATGCATGTAGATCGTCATATTGTGGCTGTGTTTATTCTGTTATTATTTGTAGACGTGCTTAGCCCTCTACATAACAATAACCATACCAAAATATTATTGTTTATGATGTGCTCAAAGTTATCACCCTTCGGAGGCTTACACTCAAAACCATGTATTTTCTATTACAACATTGAGGTCAGGATGTGTAGGATTTTCAACTTATTGTCACATGCTAAATCATATTTTATGTACAGTTTTGATTTTAGAAAGTCTTGAATTTAGATTCTAAAAATTAATTTATGATGTTTTGCACAGTCAGTGCCAAAAACATTTGAGACTACAAGCCTGAACATGGCTCTTAACATTATGTTTCATACATTTTAGTGTTATAAGGATATTATTAGCTGAGTTTACTAGACTGGGGCTTCTGACTAGTGGCTAAAGTTGCAGACTACCATAAGCCTTGATTGAAATGTGGTTATCGCCCCTTGGGCAGATGAACATCACATGTTTCTAAATGTGACTGTTGGGAGTGCTAAATCTATGTGAGGAGTTTATACTTGACAGTTTGCCATCAAAATCAGAAGTCAAGAGATGCTATAATGTTTTTGCTAACCTGGAATGACTTCTTTGCAAACACGGATTTGTTGTTTACAGTGCAACGATGGCTTCTGTGTGTCTGTGCCTTGGGCTAAAGTCGTGCTTACAGGCAGAGAAAAGAGGAACAAGCTGTAGGTTAAGGGGAAACTGCTGGATAATTTGAAAAAAAGCGCAATTCTTTTCAATATTGTTTGTTTCAAATTTTAGTTAATTCCAGGACCATGATATATAGTTTTTTTAAATTTTAAATTTTAAATTTAAAGGTCATGACATTCTTAAATTCTGCTTTGATCTAACCCTTGTTAATGTTTTCTTTAGTCAATTTATAAAAGAGGCAAACTAACTATGAGTGGGTGTCTGCCTTTAGCCACCAGTTCAAAGCACTAGTCGTGTAAAATGAGCTCAGTTGACAATGGTCCATGTATTGAGATCCACTGAAACTGGTGTTGAGACAAGTAGAAGACTGCAGAGTATTGGTTGGTAGGGGAGTAGCTTACGAGGGTGGATTGATAAGTTCCAAGCCTCACATAGATGGAATTGGGTAATAGTGAATTCTTTTGTTGTGCACATTACATGATGGTATAGAGGTATATCCACAAACACTTAAAAACAAGTCAGTAAAATAAGCCGTGGTCTGTGACCTTTGGAAAATGGACAAACTTGCAGTGATCAAGTACTTTACCATCTTCCCAAGGCAAGGGAGTTAACTGACTGTAAAAGTTCTGTTTCCACCCTTGCCGAACTAGGATGGAATTATGGAGTTATTTTTGGGCTGGACTAAAGAGTCTATGCATAATCCAATCAAAATCGCGTAACAAAATCAACATCCGGTTTGTCAACTGATGTGCAGATTTCGGTCTATTGCAGAATTTGTAAAGCATGTGTACCGCAAACTCAGTGTCAACAGATATTTTCCAAATCTTTTCATGTTTTTAATCAAGGTGCTCACATGATTTGATGCACTTCGCGAAGTAAGACCTGTTTTTTACAATATGGATCTTGATTATAGATCAGATCATCTTGACTGGGCACCGTCATTTTGTTGGAAGCAGATGAAAGTGATTCTAAAGGTGGAATCTGATTGGAGGGACATAACTTGTAATAGCCACTGGTGGCGCTACGATCAAACCCAGAAATTCCAGCCTCGTTCGGCAAAGGTGGAAACTGGCCTTTCACAGTCAGTTTACTCCTTTGCTCAGGAAGACGGTACTTTGCCAATTGTGGATTAGACTCAAGCTGGAAGTGGTGAAAACAGGTTTCATCCATAGACACAAATGGTTGCAAGAATCTTTCCGCATCAGCTTCAAACAGCTAGATGTCATGAGGCATATTGTGCCTGGTACATTTTGGATCAGATGTCAGAACTGTTGAAGCCAACAAGCTGATACTTTGTTTAATGCCTCACTTTCTGACATAATAAAATGTACTCTGTACTGAACTAGCAACATGATGCTCAGTCATCTGCCAGTAGGTCATCACCTTATCATGGATTTTCTGGATAGTTTCTGATGTGATTTGCCTTCCAGGAGATGGGTCTCCCTGCCACTCTTAAACTCCCAAAGTTGCCGACCTCTTTACAGTGGCATAGGAAGGGGCATACTTCCCTTATAACTTCTTTGAGGGGCATTTAGAAGAAGGAGTACTAAGTAAGGATAAGATTTATGGATGAACAACTTATTTCTTACAATCCTTATCCTTACTTCTCCTTCCCTAATGTTTTCATGATACGGTCCATGGATGACTTTCGGTGATGACTTCTTCTACAAATACTTGATCACTGCACTTTCTTCAAGTTTGTCCATGTCCAAGTCAGAGGCCACTGCATACTGTACTGACTTGTGACTTGCTCAATTGACTCAAGTGTTTGTGGATATACCTCCATGACATCATGTAATGTACACAACAAAAGATGGCACTATTATGCAATTCTTTATATGTATGTTCACGCCGTATGATAGGGTCTTATTTCGTGGTGGGTGAGTTTGGTTTTACGCCGCTTTTAGCAATATTCCTGCAATATCACGGAGGGGGACTCCAGAAATGGGCTTCACACATTGTACCCATGTCGGGAATCGAACGTCTTCGGCGTGATGAGCGAATGCTTCAACTACTAGGCTACCTGACCGCCCCTAATAAATTATCAACCTTGTAGTTGTTATTCTGATCTCATCCAGAAGCATTGACCTGACTTCATCATTGTCAACAGGACATTATTCTAAAGTCCTTGTTTTAATGATATTCTAAAATAAGCTTTTTAACTTAACTAAACATTTAGTCAACTGGCATAATAGTATAGGTTGGTCAGATGATATGATAAATAAAAATATCAAAACAACACATTACTTTTTAATGATTATTTCTTTATTCATTGCTGAAAATACCTTCTTTGGGGCTTAACATGCTTCTTTCTTAAAAGGTTAATACTCTAATTGTATAACGTGTTAATAAATGATTTCTAAAACAAATACCGTATTCGCCGTAGTAAGATCCCTGCTACAAGAAATCTTTTTAAATGCTCTGTGTTTTCTTGTATATAATCCATGTTTTTTTACAGAATATGCAGGATAGAAGGGTATGCATATCATACATGCACATACTGAGTTTTGACTTTCTTTACAAAGTGAAAAAATCAGTCGAGGCATGTCAACATCAGAAATATCCTGGTAGCACATGTTTTGAGGTACACTATTTAATCCCATAATTAAAGTATTTCATTTTATTAAATGGTGAATGTATATCTATGTTTTTGTATTTATGATCCATTTCATTACCACAGTTGTGTTAGTCAACACTTATTTAAATATAGTTTATTTCATTTCTTCATAGTTGTATTCATGGTACAGTAATGATTTCAGATTATTATTTTTTTATCTTTGCCCCAAAGTAATTATGAGCGGCATTGTTTACTAAATCACCAGTAATGCACGGACGCACAGGTAAAACAAATGTCTTTCTGAGTTATTACGCTAGAAACTCACACGACAATATTGATTAGTGTTTATCAAGTGCTTACTGTAATGGGAAATACTATTCATATGCTCAATCACCTTGTCCAGTAAGCTGTTATTGCAAAAGTTTTCGTTTCATCGATATTTAGACCAAGTTTGTTCTTTCTAGCTTGATCTATGACATCGTCCTGTGTGATTTCAATAAGTGCCCCTTTGTCAATTTTCCAAGCACCCTGGGCTTATTACGGTGAATACGGAGTGTTTTCCTGGGAGACACATTTGAGCACATTGTGACCTGTATCAAAGAGAGTTGTAAATGCTAGAAATGCTACGTATAATTAATCCATGGTTAATCTTCATTGATGATTCTGTAAATTATCCCAATTGATATATTGACTAATTGAGGGCTGAGCTATATGTGAATGAGGTGAGCGTTGGTGTAAACATTAGCGTAAGAGCATCTGGTTTGTTTTGTTTTGCAGCGTGTCTCTTATTACCAAATGGCCGACCGCGGGCGCATACATTTGATTCATGTGAGTAAGAGGTTCGGCTAAGTCGCAAGCCGTATTTTCGGCAATAACTTTACTCACGACAGCCAAAGCGTGTGCGTTTTGCCCTTATACTCTCCCTACGAAGCTTTGATAATAGCATGGAGCATGTCATCTCATTTAACAAACTAATATATTCAGCTTTTATCACATTCCTTCATATTGAGTGCAAGAGATGTTTGTGCATGAAAGTGTGACTGGTTTCTGCATGGTGAGCACAATAGCATGGAAGTTATTTAGTAGATATTTTCCTAATCTTTTGCATATTCCTGTTTGAAATATTCATTGATTTCACTAATGTTTTATAAAGAGCTCCTGCCTAGGTTACTAATGGCTTTGGTACCCCATTGGTCCCTAGGGTTTCATTATAGCTGTGGTGTAGCCATGGTCCTGCATTGGTCCCGCTCCGATTTCCATCTTGCGCTATTTCAGCCCTGCATTTCTACCCTTCCTTTTTGCAGCTTTTCGTATCCTTATATCTTTTCTAGAAGTGACAACTGCACAAATTATTCTGGTAATGACTGACCTTTTCTTCTTCAAGTGAATAATCAATTTACTATTTTACTTTAAGATTCTTGTTCTTGCATTTTGAGAACTATTTTTTAAATGTATTTAAATTTTCATTTGATGTGAGTACCTTTCATATTGTTGTATGTATATTGTGGATATTACTGTGAGTATATTTTGTTGGAATATGATTGTTACTTGTTTTAATTACAATGAAGTTTACGAATGCGTTCACAGTGATTGGGAAGGAAATTTTCTTCATGGGCCTCTAGCTCCATGTTTTCAAAATTTATGGGCCATTTTTGGCAAGCACAGCCCATATGTTTCACTCTATGGGCCTTTGATAATTGCAATAGATCATAAATTCAACGTAATTTCAACATGATGGTAGCTGAATAAAACACTATATTTTCTTTCAAAAGAATCTCTATAATCTTGGTCTTTGAATGAGAACATGTCAAGCCATATGTAACCAGTTCAAATCATACAAATCAGAATGTTTTGGGATGAATTTTAAAAACGATCAATTTTGTATGGATGAGTACGGTAGTGGAAACAATTATGGTGGCAACTCGGCTATTCATTGGTCGTGATGATAGATTTAAATTGTGAGTTGTTTGTCAATCTAGGGGGCATGGGTGGCCCAGTCGTCTAAGGCGCCGCGATTCGCTGTGCAGAGTTGCGTCCCTTGGGCACGCCAGAAACCTATGATTGTGGGTTCGAATCCTGGTTCGCCCCGATTATGTTTCTAGGTTTGTCAGCACCATACCCGTGCTCTTGGGTTTCACTGAATTGGTAAACGTATTAGACCTGCATCACTTCGGGCTTTCCTCCCACATTAAGCTGACACGCCATGATATAACTGGTATACTGTTAAAAGCGGCGTTAAACCCAACTCACTCACTGTTTGTCAATGTAAACTTGGCGGTGCAGGTAAAAAAACTAATGCACATGCACTGTGATGCGCCATTTTAAAAATTAGGAGTGAATTTCACATGGCGCTTGACTTTCCCAACCACTGTATTCATAAGCATGACTATAGGTGTTTTCGTTAATTCATTTACAAATAATTCATTCGTATGCAAGTGCTTAGTGTTGGATATCATTAATTTAAGTTGAATCATATAGATTGCATTTTTCGGTTTGATGGAGAACTCAAGTAGTACAGGCTGAAACACAGTAAAGGTATCCCACAATTCTCAAAACTATTTTCTCACATGGTTATTTACGTCTAACTATATTCTTTTTTTCAGTGTATAGGTGCCAAATGTTTCGTTTGATATTAAGCAGAAATAAACTACAGGTATTGTTGGAAATGACTTGTTTCGAATCATCCGTACACAAAATTGATTGTTTCAAGCTTTGCTGTGGACTGAAGAAAAACAAATGTTTCAATCAATATTCCGCTCTTGAAGCATTTTGATGTTTCGAAGACATATAAAGAATAAATAAGATTTAAGATCCTCAACAATAATAACATGTAATGGATGGTCTGACTTGTGATTAATTGATTCTGTGTTATTTGATTGTCAGGGTACTGGTAGATTTGAATGGATCAGTCGTCAGAAATAGAGGAAAATTTGTCACGTCAGAAATTACAGAACTAATTAGCGGTAATGATGGATTCCGGATCGTCTCCAATGGTTACGAGCCACATAAACACAATAATTTTACCGACTTATCATGGAGGGGTTTGCACATAGTTAATAAATCATATGAAGGACTATTTCTGTCGTCATTTAGGAATTATTCAGTCAGAGCAACTTGTTATTGATACAGGAATTGTGGAGTCAAACAAGTCCTCTGTCAAGATTGGTCTCATAATATTGATTATGCTAATCTCCTAAAGACTGCTTTTCACAAGTGACATAAAGTGTTACGAGGAACAAATAAACCTTCAGCTGATGAGTTGGGATTAGGAATGCCTTTTTGTTGACAGTCTTGTGACAGTGGAATGGTACCTGGTCACATGGAGCAGTTCACCTTGTTATCACCTTGTTGGGATGTTATTGTCATATCCTCCCAAACGTTGGTTATGCAACCATAACAGACAGCTTGAGGAAAATTTTGTGCAATATTGCCATGGACATTTTGATGTTGGGAGAACTCATGTCATGGGTCTTCATTGACAAGGGAGACCTTTTTTCAATTCAGATGTTTGGTGAAAGTGACATGCTTCAGTTTATCTGTTTTACACGAAGGGAAATACTCTTTCATGCTGTTCCTATGCTGTTTCATACAAGAGGATCAGGACCATGTTAAAAGCAACAAGTTGAGACATTTTGATCTTTTCTGGTACTTTTCGATGTTGCTTAAAAGACACAGGAGATTGTGGTTATGTTTTTCAACCTTCAAATGACGATTCTCAGTGTGTTGCGAACAGTTTTTGGCAAAGTTAGGAACTCTTGTCCCGATGTTGGAATGTTCAAATGAAGGAAAGGTGTTTAGCAGCAAGGAGCATCCATTAAGGAAATTAGGAGCCATTACGAGATGATATGTCAGAACATTTTATGTGGGATTTTAAAGTAGTTTATTATGGGATGTTTTGACAAGCTCTTCCCATTAACATAAAGACTTCAACAAGATTGGATGTACTGGTATCATTTGGAAGAGAAACTTCTGATTGTACTCTTTAGACGAAATGTCTTGAATTTTTAGTTTTATGAAATTTGGAGTAATAGCCTTTTGCAAGGAATTCAACATTGGAATGTATCATTGGATAGTGTATAGATCGTCCTTGTCTTTAGGAGGGAAAATGATCTCTGAATTATGAAGAAAGAGACACAGAGAAATGTGTTTTGTTCCAGCATATAGGTATAAAGCATAGTTGTGTACTTTAGCTTTTGTCATCGTTGGAGTAACCTACGGTGTGTTCCCCTTCTCGGAGATACAATTTGTCTAACTGGAGAAAGCTGTGTAGTGACACAGGATTATATTATATTGATGTCTTGCTTTCAAACAAGAGGGAATTGGTATTATCGACTTGTTCTGTTTGCAGACAGTGTCAGTTCAATTGTCACGGTTGACTTAGTCTAACAAAACAGATTAAAATTTAAACGGGGCAGTGTTGTGCCAGAGAGGTGGCACATCCATCTGTAAGAAAGTTGACGGAAGAGTTGTGATATAGCGTGTTGCTTGTAAAAGGTACACAATGCATAGAGGATCGGACGAACAGTCTTTCATGGAACGATTCTTTGGCTTTGTAGCCACGGCAACGCAAAGAATTATGGGTAAATAATGTGTGTTTTGTCATGTTACTCTGACCTAAAACATAATTGAGTGATTTCTCCGACTTAAACCATGTTATGGTTCACATGTAATTTCTCTATAATTATGTTTAATGATCTTCAGCTGTGTCTGTTCTATTTGCACATAATGCATGTTTGGAATGGCCAGTGATTTCCTGGCTCATAATCAAGTGCAAGAATAGTGTGTTGTCATCATAATAGTTTGACTGTTTGAGATGTCCCTATTACAAACTGATGTGATATGTTAAGTACGTCTCTTGCCTGTAGGCGACCCGTGAAGACCTGGGGTAGAATGGTCTTCAGCAATCCATGCTTGCTTGTCGTAAGAGGTGACTAACAGGATCGGGTGGTCAGGCTCGCTGACTTGGTTGATGAATGTCATCATATCCCAATTGTGTGGATCGATGCTCATGACATCAATCACTGGATTGTCTTGATTATTTACAGACCCCCATCATATGTCTGGAATATTGCAGAGTGCGGTGTTAAACAACAAATAAACAAACAAAACAAAACAAACTTGCCTGTAGGTCAACAGCAATAAGATGTCACGTATTAGATGCCAATATAGAAGTTCTTCTTGTGAAAGGAGTGAAATGGTCAAAAAGGCATTGTGAAACAATAAGATGAAAATCCTTTTACTGTTTGAGAGGATAATGAATTGAAACTGTCAGTGAAAAGAAAATATACACCCATGTTTGATGGTGGTTAAAAATGAAACAAACAAGAATTGGTTATTCAATGGTGATTAAGTTTATACAGGTATCATGGTTGTGTTTTGAACCTCAATTTGCAGTGTTTCAGCAACTGTTTTCAGCCTTGTATCTTTTTGATAATCTAAGTTTCATATGTATACAGTAAACTACGTCTATAACGAACATGCTTATGATGAACTAGCGGAAATAACAAACTGTGTATTTGGTCCCAGCCATTTGTTGTATATGTGCTGTATTTATGTTTATAATGAATTGTGGTTACAATGAACTAAAATTAGTGGTCCCTTTGAGTTTGTTATAATCGTAGTCGGCTGTACATTCTTTTGCGCAGCATTTGACTTGTTCACATGATTCAGATGGTCACAATTCATGTCAAACGTGAAACTAATGCTCTTGTACTTAGTTTTCTGTCCAGGTTGTCACGAGAGTTCTCATTGAGCTGGCATCAGGCAAGGTCATCCGCCTTCTGTGAAATTAGGCAAGTACGTGTATTCCTGTCTCATCTCCTTCCAACTGATTCTGTTCTCAGGGCCCACAGTGAACCATGTGAAGGCCAACTTCATGAACCAAGCTTCAAGTGATTCCGAGCTGGCCAAACATCGAATGAAACCATTTGTGGATAGCCATAGCAATTTGACAGATGGAATAAAAAGTGAGAGTAAGGATGGGATGTTGTCATCAGCAGCCAAGGGCATCTTGTTGCCGGGCGTGGCCAACATGAAGCAGAATGTCTCCGAGAAAGTCGCTCAGGTAAGCTTTTATTTTTATCTGTGTCATTGTTTAGAAATCTCTTGTCTTTGTTGATTGTTTAATTGTTGATTGTGCTGGAGATCCTATACACAATCGTATGACATCCCTTGATGGGACAATCTACCCTGGGATCCAGCATTCTTCAAGGTACCTTGAACACATTGTGTGTTGAACTGGTTACACTCAAAACATCTGTGTGCTAACCTGTAAAAAATGAAACCAATTAAGTTCATATTCACCATGTATTGTATTTACACCTGACTGGTTTTGTTGTCCTGCATTATTCATGTTGATGCTGTCTCGACCAATCGTGCACCTTGTCAAGTTAATTACATTGAAGATACACACAAGGCGCTATGGAGATCAACATCACTTTTGAAATATGCAGATATTTGTTCATTTAATCTTGATTTTTATCAGTGTTAAGAAGGCCACAAGAATATATCATGTTGATAACCAGTAGTAGGTACATTGAACATGAACATTTTAGATATAATAATTTTTCCTTGTTGCTTCTTAATACAAATGGGGGCACGGGTGGCCAAGTCGTCTAAAGCCCCGGGATTCGCTGTGCAGAGTTGCGTCCCTTGGACACACCAGAAACCTATGATTGTGGGTTCGAATCCCGGTTCGCCCCGAATTATGTTTCTAGGTTTGTCAGCACCATACCCGTGCTCATGGGTTTCACCAATGTTAAGCAATTTTTTTTAAATATCAGTATGTCAGTCTGTATAAACTTTTGGGGTTTGTAAGGAATAGTGAGTGAGTGAGTGAGTTGGGTTTAACGCCGCTTTTAACAGTATTCCAGTTATATCACGGCGTGTCAGCTTAATGTGGGAGGAAAGCCCGAAGTGATGCAGGGCTTAGACGTTTAACACTTCGTTGAAACCCACGAGCACGGGTATGGTGCTGGCAAACCTAGAAACATAATCGGGGCGAACCAGGATTCGAACCCACAATCATAGGTTTCTGGCGTGCCCAAGAGACGCAACTCTGCACAGCGAATCGCGGCGCCTTAGACGACTGGGCCACCCACCCGTGCCCCCTTGTTAGGAATAACCATTGGTTGGGGATGGATCTGGTTTCCAGTCCTAGCTTCTCTTCCTTACTGGTGAGACTGCCTCCGTGGTCTTGTGGTCGAGCATCCACCCGGAGAGCTGAAGGTCCGGGTTGGATCCCCGGCCACGTCATACCAAAAGACGTTAAAAGATGGTATTTGTTGTTACCCTGCCTGGCGCACAGCATTAAGGGGCTAAAACAAGGACTGACTTTGTCTGAGTGGGGTATTCATGTTAAACTGCGGCATGGTATCCCAGTGTGCTATCACTATAAATCATTATAAGTCCAGACTACCCACGCATACACACACACATACATGCACGTCGCTATATAAGTGCAATAATTATCTTGGCCATGATGTTAAACCCCATTTCACCTCACCTCACCTCATTACCGGTGAAGTCATCCCTGAAACCCAGATGTTCCTCCTTCACACCTGGGTTGTGTCCCATTCAGTCACTACGACTCTTAATACATGCTCATGTGATATATATATATATACTATTTCCCCTGGGAGACAAAACAGGTGGTGAAATACAAGATCGGTATGCCCTGCTCATGTGATGTGTTCTGTGATCATGGTGTTTTTTCATCATAATCTTAAAAAGAATCATAAAGTCTTTTCTTTGAAGATTTTAAGTTCACAGGTGTGTTTTTTTTTTAAGCTGAACATGCACGCCAAGTTTTTTTAATGTTTTTAATTTCTTTGGTATTAAAGCAAATTGGACTTGGCATTTGTGCTCTTAACTCTAGTTTTTATATGAGGATTGGTTATGTCATATTCAGATCAGTAATGTAGAGCAGTTTCTAAGTGACAGAAAATTGAGTTGCTATTTTCTTTATCATTCAAAACAGGCCTCCACAGTAGATATCACTCGAGTGAAATTAAGGATCTCTCCTAAGAGATATCACATCATAATGCTTTGCAGACCTTTGTGACATCAACGGTTACCATGACATCACAATCAAATGACATCATTAATCACTCTGGCACTGAAGCTGGTTAGCTCCGCTTATGAATGATGTTGGATGATAAACAGAATCTCTCCCTCGTGTCGTTTGATATCAAATGTATTATAAGACACTGGGTGAGATTCTCTATTTGTTACCCTGGATATGCATTAAGATGGCAATAAGCTACCCTGTCTCGAAAAGTGCTTTGTTATTTACACAGTAACAATAAATCTGTAAAGCCATACACTTTAATCATGATTATTATTAATTTCTAATTATCTCTTATTGTACATCATCGCGGTTATTTCTATTTGAAGTATATTCTGCTCAGTGTCCCATTGATAGCTCAACAGTTAGATGTAGATTGTGGTCTGTCTCCCATACCCTAGGGAATAAATTAAAATTGAATCCAACTCAAGTCTAGACTGCCTCAGCTATTAGAAATTAAGCATTGCTCAGGGCTATATTTAGATTTTACTTTTTATTTTGTAGATATTTATTTTTAGATAAGAGAATTTTTTTTATTTCTGGGACTAAGTATCAGTCTAGCATTCTTGTTGGGTGAAAGTAATTTACAATAGGAGGGTTGGCCTATCCATTATGAACATCACATTTTTTATGATGATTTTAATCACACATATTTCATTGCCATCATCACTATCTTCATCTTAAAAAAATCACCAACATCATCATCATCATCATCATCATCATTGCTGACATTGTGCTTCCCCTTGATGTGATTAGTTCTTAAATGACATGTTGATTCAAGTCTCAGCTTATCCGGAATCATGACACTTAAGAAGCGATTTGTCTCCTCTCTCCGTATTAGTCCAGAAGACTTGCAGTTTGTCCTGCTTTTCTCTGGCTTGCTCTGTGGTCAGATGGCAAGAAGAACGTTCATATTACAGTTTGACGTCTATTTTCATCAAAAACTGATGGCATATTACCAAAACACTCGCTCACTTAATTGATACTGTTTCTCTGGAATCATGAGTGTTGGCTTTTAACCTGCTTCATAATCTGCAAGACTGGCCAATCTCACCCACTCTTCAACATCCTTCTGATCGAGTTTTGTCCCACGATTAATTTTCTGTCTCAAGAATAAAGACAAATTGCTATTAATCTGGTTTCATGGTAATGGATTGAAGGATTGATGGGAGCTTGGCGTCCACGCCAGACAAATTAGGCAGCGCATGTTTTGACTTATCACGCAATGTGTGCATGATTAAAGGTATGATTGAATTCCTAACAGAAATATCCTTTTTCTTAAGAAGTTAATAGGAAATGAAAAAAATTATGATGTCAGAATTTTCCCATCATTGTATTCATAAGTGAGATTGTATTTATCATACAACTTTGAGTCTCATAGTTATGAAAATAGGATGTCCTTGGGCTTACGTTTGTGAATTTATAAGGGTGGTGTTTTAATATGTAGTGGTGTTTTTACAAATATTAATACATTTTACAAAATGTAACAATTGTATACAAAATTTAGAAATATTTCATGTGGTGCCAATAACATACATTTAAAAGTATTGTCAGGGAGGTTGACACCAAAAGTTAAAGCAACAAACCCATTGTATGATGTCAACTATGTCATAAGCATGAGACTTGTCATATAAATAGTTCAGGGGCCCGTTCCACAAAGCGATCGTAGCACTAAGACAATCGTAACTCCCATACTTTAACATAGACTTACGACAATCGAAGCGCTACAATCGCTTTGTGGAACGGGACCCTGCATTGTAGCCGAGTCTTCTAGCCAGTTATGAAAGTCACTATTTACAAAAATAGTTCTGCTACAAGAGGTACTTTGTACAATATGTAGGTCTGCTCTGTAGCCACAACATCTAGCCCGCTACAAGAGGCACTTTGTGCTATATGTAGGTCTGCCTTGTAGGCAAGAATTCTAGCCTGCTACAAGAGGCACTTTATACAATATGTAGGTCTGCATTGTAGGCAAGAAATCTAACCCGCTACAAGAGGAAGTGTCTGCAATAGAACCGGTAACTCTGCAATAGAGAAATCAAGCATAAAGATGGCAGTATTTATAGTCAGACAGTTCTGCTGGGAATTAGAAATATTGTGAGGATCATTTTGATGTTAACTCCTATAAAAAACACACATTTTGTCCAAAATTCTTAAGTTTGTGTGAGGTTCATATATTCTTAGCTATATAGGTATTCTAATGTTCAATAGTGTCATATCAAGTCACACATACAAAGCTTTTAAATATGTATGATATCCTGAACTGGGATATCCAATTTGGGAATTGTTACAAACATTTACTGCAGACTTAGGCGGCATATCAGGCGCTGTGAATGCCTGAATAATCCCTCAGATTGATATAGATTTTAACTTGTTCTGTCATATGGATTTCCTTTCAGAAATTGACAGTTGAAAAGTCCTGTATCTTGATGATAGTGCTTTTTGCCACAAACACTTAGTGTAGATGAGTTGGCCATTGAAGATGTAAACAGTGAGTGAACGAGTCAGGTTGTATGCTGCTTTTGGCAATATTACCGTCATTTCACTGTGGGTGGATACCTAAAATGAGTTTATACCCATGAATCTGGAGAATCAAACCCTGGTCTTGTAGTGATGAGTCAGTGCTTTACCCATGAGGCTACCCACAGCCCAGTCAGTGCTTTACCCATGAGGCTACCCACCACCCGGTCAGTGCTTTACCCATGAGGCTACCCACTGCCCAGTCAGTGCTTTACCCATGAGGCTACCCACCGCCCGGTCAGTGCTTTACCCATGAGGCTACCCACCGCCCGGTCAGTGCTTTACCCATGAGGCTACCCACCGCCCGGTCAGTGCTTTACCCATGAGGCTACCCACCGCCCGGTCAGTGCTTTTACCCATGAGGCTACCCACCGCCGGGGTAGTGCTTTACCCATGAGGCTACCCACCACCGGGGTAGTGCTTTACCCATGAGGCTACCCACCGCCGGGGTAGTGCTTTACCCATGAGGCTACCCACCA